TTATCGGACCTTCTGTGGGTTTGGCTAGTCTATATTATTCATCCATTAGTTTCTTGTTTTTCTTGAGAAAGGAAAAGGAATTAGTTAGTTGATTCCTCAGCTGCTTTAAGGGGTTTTCGGTAACCGGTTGATAAGTTTCTTTGTTTTCGATGAGCTGTTTTATCTATTTTTTATATTCTGTTTTGTCCAACAGTGCGATTGCATTACCTTTGTCTGCCGGAAGAATCATAATATTGGAGTCATTTTTCAGCGATTTTAATGCCCTCATTTCGACATCAGAGTTCAGCTACTACTGTTTCTGTTGGTTGAGCTGTTGGCATATTTTGATCCTAACTTCATTTCCTTTGTCTTCGGGCAAGGAGCAGTTTCTTGGTCCGTTTTTCACAGAGGCGATGAATTCGGTTTGGCATTGGAGTGATGAGACCAACAGGAAGTTAAATCTGTGTGTAGCGGATATATGGAGTCAATAAGAATCTTAGGAGCAAACTTTTCACACGCATTCAAATGCGTTAGCACCGGTGAGTTACCAACGGTACGGATAATTTCTGTTTGAACTGCATGGCGTATGACTGTTCAAACTTGCTGTTCTGAAACTGTGACAAGTAGCTTATTGGCCCATTTTGTCTCGGATGGTTAAACCACCGCAGTTTGTTTGGGAAAATATGATATAAATGGGTTTCTTTTCTAACAAGAATGATAATACTGGAGGGTTCCAGGAGAACAGAAACTCATGAAGTACATTTAAGTCGCCAGCAATGATCAATACTGATGCTGATTTTAAATCGCCATTCTCCAGATTTGCTCCTCACGCACAATCCATAGTTCATGTAGGCAACCATACAACCGGGAAGCACTAGATTCCAGTTCCTCAGAGCTCATCGGTAAAGCATATCCACCGTCCTGTCAGGGGTTTGAACTCCACTCCCGTCGCATGGATAGCGTGTTAGCATTGTTGTCCACCAGCTCTCACTGAGACTAGCCGAAAAATCAATAGAAGTTTTTACAGATTTTGACGAGTCTAGTAGCTGTCGAATATACGGATGATTTAAGGATTGTGTATTCGAATGAGATCATTTATTTCCCATCGCTACTCATAAGTAACTATGTGGTAGATGTAAAATTAAATGTGTCAATTTTCCGTACAGTGCTGGGCAAATGTGAATGAATATGGCTGACAAATCAACAAAATTGTAACCAGGAATTATGTTGAAATAAAACGTGTCCCTAACTTCATGGTGATACAAAAAAGTTTTGTGAGTTGTGCGTGAATACGGATAGGGTTGAATTGCCCTATCGATGAAAAGGAAGCGAGTCAGTTTCTAATTTCATGAGAGTATCCTCAACACCATTGTTAACTCATATCCAGTGACTACCAGGAGATAGCAAAAGGGTTTCATTCAAGTACCGCTTATGAAGGGCTAAGAAATTTCACTTTTTCAAGATTTTAAGTTCGGCAACCGATGTTGGGTAAATAACCATACGAAAAGGGCAACAGTTTCAGCGTATTACTAAAAGGAAGGGTTCATGGTCTCTATATGAACACCTGGCACGCTATGTAATAGAAACTTTGAAAATAGTTAATTACCTGATGCGGCTATATGACGATTGCTTTTTTATTCCAGCGTGAGTTGCCTCTTTTACAGGGCACTGTCTTGAACATTTGAAGCCTCTAGCCCCTAACGGAATGCCAGGTTCGGTTGAGTATAAGGTAGAGAGATAGATGGCCGGAAACAACTATCATCATTATAGCGTGCCGATGGAAAACAACTGAGTTCAATCATCATTATGGTAAGTTTTGGTAGGCAATAAACATTTTAGTGTTTTCAAATACTTTTTGATGACATTTGTCAAATCTGTAGAAAGAAATAGTTCCTAAAGAAAACCTTGCCTTTAGTCGAAAAGTTACCATAGAATTGAAGCTCTGTCATGTTTATTGAGCAAGAATACAAATATCCAGTGAGTCATGAATGCCACCTTCCTGGAATCGATTTCATACAGATTTGTATCCCAGGTTAAAACTCAGTCAACAGTACACCAGTTCAAAGCCATCTGTTCCTTCGAACTTGGGTTTAATGTTTGAAATCGGTAAATCTGTTGATCTTTTTTCTTACTGGACTCCGTGTTGTGCAGTCCTACTTCTGTGTTTTTCGATTGAGAACGTCCAAGGAGATCATACAGTCACGTAAGCGATTTTGAAATCCTTATTCGACAGTGTCTTTCTTATCCCTAATAGGGTATCGGATCGGGTAATTTAAAAGAAATCGTGCATTTTCTCTAAGAGGGATCCGATGTGGTTATTCTTTGTTTCATTCATCACACGATACTATCATATATCATACTTGCTGATGATTAGTTTATGCGCGTCAAACAAAAAATATTAATCCAGTTCGTCACTGCAGGGATCATAGTTACCGAATGTTTCGGGTCAAAGAAGAACAGAAACGAACCAATATTGACTGGCGGATTTGTAAAATATCGTCCAGAGGACACTGGTCAAAGGCAGGATCGGAATCGGAATCGGAATCTCTTAATGAGCCTCGCACACATGAAATATGTTGCATGTCATACAGACAAGA